TGATGGGGGGCCAGGGTCAGAGTCCTAGACTCACCCAAGGACTGGGGATGATGGGGGCCCAGGGTCAGAGTCCTAGACTCACCCAAGGACTGGGGATGATGGGGGGCCAGGCTCGGAGTCCTAGACTCGACTCACCCAAGGACTGGGGGTGATGGGGGGCCAGGCTCAGAGTACTAGATTCACCCAAGGACTAGGGATGATGGGGAGCCAGGCTCAGAGTCCTAGACTCACCCAAGGAGCTCAGCAGAGGCGGGCAACACTCACCTTGGCAATCTTTAAAAAAACGGACAGAAATCGTGATGAACTAAAGGGCATGTGTTTTAAATAACAGCACTTGTACCATGGGCCTCATCAGCCTCTAATCCCAGCCCTGGAGGGTGGGGCGTTGTGACCTCTCGGGGCCTCTCTGTCTCTCATCCAGGGATTGGGGAATCTAGAGGCAGCCTATGTTCGGGGGATGGAGTGAGTGTGTGTGTTTGTTCATCAATGTGTGCATTTATCCATGCATCCAGACATGCGTTCATTTATGTATCCACTGCATATTCATTCATGCATCTGTGTGTGCATTCCTCTACACATGCATTCTTTAATGTATGCCTCTATGTATGCATTCATCCTTGCATGCATACATGTCTTTGTTCATGCATCCATCCATGTGCACAGTCGTTCCTGCGTGTATTTGTTCATGTGTTTATTCATCCACGTGCACATCATCATTGCATTCCTTCATCCAAAGACATTTACTGAGTGCTTACATGGTGCTAGGCACTGTACAGGTTGGGATGTGGCACGTCGATACTGACTCAGTGATCCTGCAACAGAGTAGAGATGTCCCGTGGCGTGTCCTAGCTGATCGCCAGGTGATTTTTACCACGGTCCCACCCACCAACCCTTGGCTAGCAGCTGAGATCTTAACTGTCGCTTCTTCGGCCTTGTGCCCAGTACGGTGGGTCATCAGTGACTGATCCTCGTGTGGGTTAGTTCTGGTGGGGTGATGGGAAACAGACACGTCTTCATACAGCTGATGTCTGATTACGGTCGTGGTAAGTGCAGTAGAAGACCTAATGCAAAGTATTAGGAAAGTGTAATGCGCGCGGCTTGTGAAATCTGAGTCTGTAATGCAATGTACTGGGGCATGTTTGGCGAGTCTGGCAGGATAAAGCTGATCACTACGTAAGTCATCATAGTGATAGCTGATGCTTTCAGAGTGCTGATCAGGTGCCAAGCAGCCAGCCGGGTACCTACTGTGTGATGATCCCTTCTAATCCCTGGGACAGCTTTATGAAGTGGCTACTGTTACGATTGTTGTTCTAGGGCTGAGGAAACCCAGGTTCGGAGATGTCTGGTATCTTGTTCAAGGGCCTGTAGCTTGAGACAGGGTCAGGATTTGAACTCAGATCATTTGGCTCTCAAGTAGGAGCTGTTGAGTGGGGAGAGTGGGTAGAATGTTCTGGGATTTAGGGCAAAGGCGTAGTCTATATGAAAGCCCCCAGCCTGTTCTGAGGGGAGGTCTGTGTGAACCCTGGAGTCCCTGCCTGCATTCCTGGAAACCGGCTCAGGTAGGGGACATGCTGTTCATCATGTGCTCACAGCCACCTTGTTCCCCACAGGCGGTCCGGTCGGGTCCAGCACTGCAGAATCCGCTCCACCATGGAGGGGGGCACCCTGAAGTTCTTCTTGACTGACAACCTCATGTTCACCAGCATCTACGCCCTCATCCAGCACTACCGCGAGAGTCACCTGCGCTGTGCCGAGTTCGAGCTGCGGCTCACTGACCCTGTGCCCAACCCCAACCCACACGAGTCCAAGCCGTGAGTGAGGCGCATTCCTGACAATCCGTACATGCAGTTCGGGGTGTGACGGGCCCACTGGGACCTCTGAAAACCCTCCAAGGGGGGAGGAGTCCTAGTTACCCTTTTCTCTGCCTGATCTGCTCCATTCTCCCCTCTTCCCTTCTCTCAACTTTCTCTTTGTAATCCTGACATCATCGTGGGCTTGGATTGTCACAAAACATTTGCCATTTCAACCACTTTTACATATACAGTTCTGTGATATTGGGTAACCATCAGCACTATTTATTTCTAAACCTTTCTACCATCCTTCATGGGTTACCTTTTAGAAGTCAGTTTTACGTCTTGCAAAAAGCCCACTCATCCTGTAGTTCACTGGCTTGGGGTGTTCAGGGTCACACCGGCCTGGTGTTGGCCACTCCGGCCTGGGCTGACGGTTGGTAAAGGCACGCTGATGAATTCTGCGCTCCAAGCAGACCCCCTGCATGAACGGTTCACCCACGCTGTGCTGTGGTCTCTTCAAAAGCTGTCGGTTTTAGCAGAGGGCAGCGGCTCCCTGTGCGATGTCCGGGTGGATGGTCCTTCACGACCCTATGCTTGTCCTCTCACCTGGCTGTGTCCCCTGCCCTCTCGTCTCCCTCTCACCTGTTGATGTTCCCGCCCTCTGTGGTCTTCCTCTCACCTGTCCATGTCCCCGCCCTCTCATCTCCCTCTCACCTGGCCATGTCCCTGCCCTCTGGTCTTCTCACCTGTCTGTGTCCCCTGCCTTCTGTGGTCTCCTTCTCACCTGTCCATGTCCCCCACCCTCTGGTTGTCCCCTCACCTGTCCGTGTTCCCCGCCCTCTGTGGTCTCCTCCTCACCTGTCCGTGTCCCCTGCCCTCTGTGGTTTCCTCACCTGTCCTTGTCCCCTGCCCTCTGGTCTCCCTCTCACCTGGCCATGTCCCCTGCCCTCTGGTCTCCCTCTCACTTGTTCATGTTTCTGCCCTCTGCAGTCTTCCTCTCACCTGTCCATGTCCCCGCCCTCTGTACAGGTGGTATTACGATGGGCTGAGCCGGGGAGAAGCAGAGGACATGCTGATGCGAGTCCCCCGCGACGGGGCCTTCCTGGTCCGGAAGCGTGAAGGTGCTGACTCCTACGCCATCACCTTCAGGTACCGGGGTAGGGGTGGGGCTCGGGGGCAGGTTGGAGTCTGTACCTCCCAGTGTCTTTTATGAGAATATCCACGGAAGCAGTGACAACAAGTGTCCTCCACTTATGTGGCCGTGAGTCAGAATTGACTTCATGGCAAAGGGGACTCGGTGTCTTCTAAACCGTCCATGTGCTGAGTTCCTGCTGCTGGCCGAGGGCAGGTCCCCTCCCTAACAGGCCTGGCCCATCGTTCCCCAGGGATATGGAGTTCTGGTGTGGCGCTGTAGGATAAGCACTCGAGTGCAAAGTCGGCTTGAACTGGTAGGTCGGTGGTTCAAACTCACCAGCCGCTTCTCAGAAACCCCACACAAGAGTCACTCTGAGTCAGAACAACTGAACGACGCCTAACAACACCACCAACCACAACAAGGGATGTGGGTGAGGAAGCCGAGTCAGCTGCCCACTCTCCACTCTCCACGGGGACCCCAATGCTTCTCTGTCCTACAGAGTCTTTGTGAAAAGTTTAAAAAAGAATTTGTAATTACATAAATGGTACCTGACTACATTGTCCTTGTGAAAAATGGACACAGCGCACATCAGACTAAAGTCCCCTGTGGCCTTCATCTCAATCCTTAGAAGACACAGTTTCTGAATAGGGATCTTCATCTAGGCTTTTTAACAAAAATCGGTTTACATACCTGTGTCTGGAGGAGTCCTGGTGTAGCACTATGGGTTAATGCGCCAGACTGCAAGTCGGTGGTTCAAGCTCACCAGCAGCTCCTTGGAAATCCTATACAGGATTGTTATGGGTCGGAATCGACTCGATGGCACTTAATAACAATAAAATCTGTGTGGAAACATTTTCTAGATGGAAACAATTTCTAGTGTGTGGGCATTTTGTTCCATGTTTCAAAAACACAAATGGGATCGTACTCTTACTTCATTCTGCAACTTGTCTTTTCATTCGGCCTTATAGACTTTCGGTTTTTTTTAAATAAAAATAAATATTGAAGCTAGTAAAATACCGCTACAGATAAACCACTGAAGCAGACGTCTTTGGGCATTTGTTTTTATCAGACTTTTTGAAGAAATGGCTTAGCAGGAGACATTTTTAAAAAACAGAATCTTTAAAGCACCAAGTATCGAGAAGATGAACAGTCTGCCCATAAAAATGAAGCCTTTAGATTTTTTTTTTTTTAAAAAGACTCACTTGATTGTAAAGTTAGGGTCAGAACTCATTGTCTGGTCTTGCTGATAAAAGCTGTTACGATTGCAGAGCCTGTTCTGTTTTGGATTTTTTCCACCTCTTGTTTCAAATGAAGAAATGAAAGGTTGCTTCCTTTCTGAGAAACAATTGCACTGTTACCCTCTTGGGTAGCTGGAGATAAGATTTTGAGACACGGGAATTGAGTCCTGAAGCTATAGGACAGAATCAGACTGTCTTCTCTGCAGGACCGGGCAGTAAATGTTCTAGGATCTGGGGGCCCTATGGTCACTCTTGTAACTACTCAACCGTTGCTGCATGGAAGCAGCAGTGTATATAATACAAATGAAGATGGCTGTGTGCCAATAAAACTTTATTTACCAAAACAGCTGGCCCTTGGGTCCTAGTTTTTTGACCCTTGATTTCAACATCTAGGATGTTGCCAGATTCAAGCTCATGGGTTTTGGGGCAGTAGAGATGGGTAGGGGGAGGTAGCCATAGAACTGTTCAACAATGCAAGGGGGCTTCAAAAAGTTTGTGGAAAATGGAATTGAAAGATGATGGGATTTTCCCATCAAGTTTTTGAAGTCCCTTTGTAGTTCTTGATGATTCTTCTGTAAAGAGCCACACTGTTGTGTGTTTTATGCCGTCTTGGAGTCCCTGGGTGGTAGGTACATACCGTGGATACATTCAGCTGCTAACTGAAAGATGAAATGTTTATGTTTGTTCAGAGGTCCCTCAGAAGAAAGGCCTGGCAATCTGTTTTCTGGAAACTGAGCCACTGGGATCCCTGTGAAGCCCAGTTCTTCTCTGACACACACAGGGTCCGCTTGATAGCAGCCTGGTACCGGCACTGTATTTATTAGCCAGGACGGATAGCTGGGTTGGTTCTGATCTGGTCTCGGGGTCTGACCCCTATGTGCTCTCCTGTCCAGGGCCCGGGGGAAGGTGAAGCATTGCCGGATCAATCAGGATGGCCGGCACTTTGTTCTGGGGACCTCGGCCTACTTTGAGAGTCTGCTGGAGTTGGTCAGCTACTACGAAAAGCACGCCTTGTACCGCAAGATGAAGCTGCGCTATCCCGTGACCCCTGAACTGCTGGAACGCTACAACATGGTGGGTGGGGGTTCCCTCCAGGGGGTGGGATGGCACAGCAGAGGTGAAAATCTCGTCTGAAGTTCTGTGTCCTCTGTTGGTTCATTCCCCTGCATCCGGCACCACCCGATGTCCTTGGCTGCAAAACACAACCAAGACCCTGCCCTCCTCATGCTGGGAGGTCTTAGAGTCACTAAATGACAGGAGTGGACACAGAGACCCATGTGGTGGGCAGTGAGCGACGGAGTGAAACATGGTGGGAAGGTGGGGAGGGGGCTGTGCTGCACAGAGGGTGGTCTACTACCCTGAGCTGGTACTAGAGGAAGTGGAGGAAGAAGAAACGACATGTGCAAGGGGCCTGAGGCAGAGACTGGGATCCAGGAAGTTGGGAGCTTATCGGGAGCAGACTGGGGGAAGACACTGGCTCTGACTAAGCCATGGAGGGTTCCAAGAGGAGGAGAAGTCACGTTTGCTGTGTCCCGATTCCTGGCTGTTGGTTTCATAATCATGTGAAGTGTTCTGGGTTCAGGGGTGGGGTCCAGTGTCTAGGTGGGGAGACTCATGTTGTTAGGTAAAGAAGGTGATTTCAGATAGTGTGAATTATAGAGAAGAAAATGAAACATGAGGCACTCGGGTGTGGTGTGGGGGCTGCTGTTGATGGCGGGGGTCAGAAAGGGCTTCTTTGAGATACGTAGCGCTGTGAACCCCTACCGAGGAGGCAGGAGTGAGTGGCAGCCACAGGGAGGCATGAAGGAGGCCGTGGCTGAAACCGTGGCATACTCTGCAGGTGTCAAACAGAGGTCATGGTGGCCAGAGTTAAGTTAGGGGGCCAGGGAGGTGGGAGAAGACGGAGCTGCTTGCTGGGAATACGTGATCGGCCACTTCCTGTGACTTACACACTTTCTCTGTGGCCGACGTTAAGACGGCCACATGACAGCTCTGGACATGGGCTTGGCAGAGCCATACACAGTGGGCTTTCACACACACACACACACACACACCAGTGGGTCTTAGGGTTGGGGGTGTTTTTACAGTAGAGTACAGAGTAGGCCAGGAGAGGGAACCTTGCTCGCTTGGGGATACAGCTTCCAAGTTTTGGAGAACTTTATAGCTGCTACTTCCTGTTGCCGCCCATGACTCGCCTAGTAAGGGACCGGTCAGAACCAAACCCACTGCCATGGAGTTGGTTCCTACTCATGGCAACCTGTGTGTGCAGAGTACAACTGCTGTATAGCTGTAATCCTCTCAGCAGCAGATGGCCAGGTCTTTCTTCTGCAGCACCGCCGGGTGGGTTTGAACTCACAGCCTTTAGATTAGTACTTGAACACAGCGTGTTCATACGTAGTCTCATGCAAACAGAGGTCTTCAAAGACGGGCCACCGCTAAGACGCCTAGACCCCGTGACATGTAGGGTTTATCCCAGGCCTGCAGATGGTGCCATTTACTTTTCATTTTGTTGTTTTTTTCAGGAAAGAGATATAAACTCCCTCTATGATGTCAGTAGGATGTATGTGGACCCCAGTGAGATCAATCCTTCCACGGTATGATGCACCACGCCCCCCACCCCCACCCCTGAGTCACACAATTTCCTAACCCTCGTATTGGGGGATTCTGATGGTGCAGTGGGTCCCTGGTTTGACTCCAGTAGCTGCTCCATGGAAGAAAAACGAGGCTGTCTGCTCCTGTAAAGATTCATAGTGTCAGAAACCCTCTACAGGGTCGCTGTGCATCAGAATGTGGTGCTATAGGATAAGCACTGGATTTACAAGGTCAGATTGCTTCACAAGGTGGTGGTTCAAACCCACCAGCCGCTCCTTGGAAACCTTATACAGGATTGCTGAGAGTCGGAACTGACTTGACAACAACTCTTGAGAGCGGACTCATCAGCAATGGGTTTGGGTAATTAACATGGGGACCCTGGTGGTGCAATGCTTAAAGCACTCAGCTGCAAACCAAAAGGTTGGTGGTTGGAACCCACCTGCCACTCTACGGGAGAAAGATGTGGCAGTCTGCTTCCATAGAGAATGACAGCCTAGGAAACTCGGTGGGGCAGCTCTCCCCTGCCTTACGGGGTCACTGTGAGGCCGGGCCGACTTGGTGGCAGTTGGGTTTTCTCTATATGGGTCTGTGTTCTGTCCTTTGATGTGATGGCGTTTATCATAGCACGTGGGGGTGTTGTGAAAACCTGGACACAGATGTTTTTTGAGAGGTGGGTTGGGGTGGAGGAAGAAGAAATGATTCTGCACAGGTTGACATCAGTTCCAGGGAAAAGGTCCGTGGGATTTCGTCTACACAGGACTATTCCAAGCCAAAATCCTGAAGTCTGGGCTGAGCGATTTCTAACTAAAACTCTCTCTGGTAGGTCTGGCTTGCCAGATGAGCCTGTGATGTTTATAGATTCCGCCTGGTTGGCGGATGGTATCTCTTCCTCCCACCGTTCTCTGGTGGGTCCTTTTACGTGGCGTGGGCAGGGTTAGAGTTGGGTTTCTAACTTTCCCTGCTCACTTCCGCTCCTCTGTGCTCTGGCTTCACCTCTCTCTGCGTCTGAACCCACAGAGGAAGATTTGTGGGGAGCCTTCTCTTTGGGATGACCATCTGGCACACGATTTAGAAGGAGCCCTATAGTTTAGTTTTGTACTTAAAATCTCTGCCCAGTACAAATCCCTTTTGGTAAGAGGTGATGTGTTAGAAAGGGGGGTACATTGGGACTTGTGTGCAGTGCACTAGAAGAATCAGCCAATGCCAGAAACTCTGGCTAGCCAGGAGGAATGTCCTCCTACCCCGGTGGACACGGCGGCTTCACAAAGTTCATGGAAAAACTTAATGAAAAGATAAAAGGAATTTCTCCTCAAACTTTTTTTCTAACTTTTGATTGAGTTGAGTGAAGGTTTACTGAACAGATCATCAGCTTTACATTCAACAAATCCTACCCTTTGTTTCATCTCCACGATTACATCCCCTCCGTGCAACAACAGTGATCCCGCTTCCTCCCTGAGGTTCCTGTTCATTCCACCTCCTCCTTCCTGTCCCTTCTCAACTCTGTCCTCAGGGAAATGTTGCCCTTTTGACTTTGAAGGATGGACCATTCTATGGTGAGCGCGCCTTACCAGTGTTATTGTCTGCGTTATATACTTAACTATTGCTTGGCTGAAAACTGGGCCATGAGGGGCGGGGAGTTCTTTTCATACCTGAAGGGTGGTCGAGGGCTTTAGTCAGGTTCCTCCGGTCTCTATCTGACCAGTAAACCTGTTTTTTTTTTTTTTTTTTTTTTAATAGTTTTGAGTTTTGTTCTATACTTCCTGCTACTGTCTAATGGGACCTTTAATGTGATCATTTTTAGAGCAGTTGGTAGCGGTTCCCAGCCAGGTACCAGCTAGTTTTTCTGGTCTTAGAGTTCCCTTGAACTTTTTGGAGTCTCTGTGTATCTACTTTGTGAACTTTATGTAGCCCAAGGGTCACTTCAGGACGATTCTCTACAAACGGTTGGTGGGGTGGGTGGGACATTCAGCATTGATTTTGAAGGGCTTGAGACTTTCTTTCCCCTTTTAGAAAGGATTTCCTATAAAACAGGGGTTGCAAACTCAAAAGTTCATAAAGACCAAGAGGGTTCTGTGAATGAGGAGAGCCAACCAGGCCTGAGAGTGGACACCGTGTTTGTATGAGGACTTAGAGCTGCTGTAACGAAATGCCACAAAGTGGGGGACTTTCCATAACAGAACTGATTTTCTCACTGTTCTGGAGACTAGAAGTACAAATTCCTGGCATCAGCTGGGCCCTATTCTTCCTACACCTTCAGGAGAAAAGTCCTCATTTCTTCCAGCTTCTGATAGACCAGATGTCTGTGGCTGTTCCTTGTCTTGTAGATACAATCCCTTGATCATTCTTGCCTATATTTGTCCCTTGTTGGTTCTAAGGACAACACTAAGGCTAGATCAGGACCCACCCTCCTCCCAGAGGACCTTAGGTTAACAAAGACCTTGTATCCAAGGTCTCCTTCACAGATGCCCACCATCAGGATTTCAGCGCATCCTTTTGGGGACACAGTTCCGTCTATTACAATCTCCTGACTTTTCAGTGACAGCGCCATTTGGTGTTGTAAGTGGCAGCAGGTGTTCTGCCTCATGTTAGGGGGATGGCAGGGCATGGTGGAGACCGTGGTAAACTGAGGCACATGTGCCTCATCTCAGAGGTGGCCAGTCTTCAGTTTAGCCAGTTGTTGCATTTCCAGAGAGCAGGCTAGGTCTTCTGACTTTCCAAGACAAGCTGCAAATCTGGATGTTTCATGTGACATCTCTGTGTTCAGAGTTTTGTCAACCACTCACCCAATTTTTAGAGAAAATCAACCGAAAAATGAGGTCAGCCAAGTAAAGCGTGACTGTAAGAGGCACTTGACCTCAAGCTACCAGTCTGTGAGGACCTCAGAAGAAAAGTATATTTGTTTTTATGATTGAAAAATGGTTTGCAAGAAAAAACATACTTTTTCTAAAAAGGATAAATAACCATCCCTTCTGTACATAATCCTGTGTGACTGTTTGCATGTCTGGGTGTTAACTTCTCTTTGCCCACACGGGGGCGCAGTTTACCACTGCCAGCCCTGGACCTCTGCCATGTTTCTCTGCTCATTTGCGCTTGGTCCCCTGTGGTTTCCCCGTTGCTCATCTTAATGATCATTGTTATCTAACCTGATAAGCCAAGTAATTCGGGTGAAATTCCCACAAATGGGAATTTTAACTTAAAAAAGGAAGAAAAGGGTTTTTATAGCTATAGAATATTCTGGGTGGCTGTTACCAAAACGGACTTCACAATTTCCCCCTCAGTGACCCTTTGGGTTACTCTTCTGTCTTTGGCTTGTTTAGTTAACTAAAGCGAACTTTTTCCTGCGTGAGGCTTTGGGCATGCGTGTTGTGTGTTATTTCTTCCTGTCACTTCTTAGAGCTAGAGTGACAAGGTCACACGCTGAGGCCACACTATGATGTCACACCATGACGTCACACTGACGGCACACTATGAGGCCGCATGGATGAGGCATTGGGAGCATTAGATGACATCTGCTCCTTAGTCTTCACCGTGGCCGTATTTCATCTCCATTTTACAGATGAGGAAACTGAGGCATGCAGAGGTTGAACAACTGCTAGAAAAGTGTTATATTGGTTTCCTAGGGATTTGTAGTGAACTGGGCAGCTCAGTCCTCGCAAGACCAAATTATTTTCTGTTTTGAATTTTTTGTTGAAACAATGTGTTTTCAGTCATGGAAAGAAATTTGAATGACATTTTAGAAAAGTTTGAGGGCGAACATGGATTTTATTAGTATTAACATACAATTAGTGGTAGTAACGTAATAGGATGTGGGTTAAAAAAAGAAAAAAAAAGTACAGTTAGTGGGGTACCTGTGTCCTGAGGGGTTTTTGGTGTTGGAGTTGGTGGGATGAGGGTGTTTTCTTCAGACTCATGCAATTATAGAAGCCCCCTCTAGTTGGCAGCATGGATTAAAAGTGGGATAGGAGCTTCCCACTCAACACTAAAGGAGACAAATGTAGGTAGGTACTCTTTGTCCTACGGGTTACAGAAAGGGTTAAAATAACAGACATTGATGCTCTCATCGGAATCAGGGTGCTGTCCAAGGTGGCTCCTTTTGAAGGTTCTGGGGGAAGTCTGCTCCTGCTAATCTTCTGCCTCCTGGTGGTAGCATCTGGTACTGTTCCTTGCCTTGTAGACACACCATTCCAGCCTGCTTCCCTCTGTGTCTCCCCTGTTTCTTATAAGGACGCCAGTCTGCTGGATTTCAGGCTTATTGAAATCCAGAATGTCTCTTTCTTAACTTGATGACACCTACAAAGACTCTGTTTCCAAGTAAGGTCATGTTCACAAGCTCTATGGGAGACATGAAATTTGGAGGTCACTGTCAGCGGTTCGAAACTACCAGCGGCTCCGCGGGAGAAAGATGAGGCTTTCTACTCCCGTAAAGATTTATACCCTCGGAAACCCTGTACAGGGTCGCTATGGGTCGGACCCGACTCGATGGCACTTAACAACAACAACAACTTCAATCCTGTATAGATGTGGAGACTTGGACCGAAGCAGTTTGGCTGTAAGGAGTGTGTTCTTAACTGCCTTGCTTGGTCATCTGCTTGTTCTGTGTAGCTCAGGCAGCCTGACAAGAGGACCTCTCCCACCATCACATTGGAGACTTGCTCCTTGTGTGGTTCCTCCTCTGCCTCTGGCTGGACCTTCCTGAGATCCCGGAGCCTGGGCTGACCTGTGGTTCAGGTGCTCATGCCTGCCCCTGAAGCAGGAAGCCCAGGTAGAACCATAGAGGTGGCTGCATTGCAGGTGGGGAAGAGAAGGCCCGGAGCCCAGGTTAGCCTCTGGTGGGATGTTCCCACGACTCAGATCTTGGAGCCCACGTTGCTACAGAAACGGCACTTCAGCCCTCGAGTTTGTGACCTAACAGTTGGTTAACTGTGGGCAGAGTATTCCTGAACACTTCCCTTGGTTTCTGCATCTGTAAATGGTCCTCCCTACCTCTTAGGGTTGTTATGGAGATTAAAGGATGAAAAGGTTAGACCAGTGCTTTCCCATTCATGTTGTTAAGTGCTGTCGAGTCTGTTCTAACTCATAGCAACTCTGCATAGGGTCTCCGAGGAGCAATCCCTTCTGACAATATGTCCGAAATATGAGAGATGAAGTTTGACCATCTTGGGCTCCAAGGAGCACTCTGGCTGCACTTCTTCCAAAACGAATCTGTTGGTTCTTTTGGCAGCCCATGGCACTTTCATTATTCTCCTCCAACACCATAACTCAAAAGCCTCAATTCTTCTACGGTCTTCCTTACTCACTGTCCAGCTTTCGCATGCTTATGAGATTATTGAAAATATCATGGCTTGGGTCAGGCGCACCTGAGTCCTCAAGCTGACATCTTTGCTCTTCAACTTTAAAAAATATTGTTAGGCACCATTTTGTCACTTCTGATAGTGATCCTAAGCACTATGTGGGGCGCTGTGTCATCCTCAAAACGCTTGTCATGTTTGATTCCATTGTTGCTGCCCCCGTGTCGGTTCATCTCTTCGTGGGGACAGTCTTCCCTCTTTCACTGACCCTGTACGTTGCCAAATATGATGTCCATTTCCAGAGATGGATCTTTCCTGATAACATGTCCCAAGTTTATGAGACAAAAATCTCACCATTCTTGCTTCCAAGGAGCATTCTGGTTGGTTTGCATTTCTATTATTTTTTGCAAACTTTTCATTGTGAATTATGTCATAGTTTACATGGGAGTACATTAGCTTTACATACATCCTATCATATAGCTTTAAGTTACCATTATTGTTTATAGTAACAAAAGTTACGTATTTATTCCCATCTAGCAGATGGAGAAACTGAGGTCCACATAGCTGGTGAATTCTCGAGTCCGACTCCTAGTGAACCTACGGAGGAGTAGAACTGCCTCTTATGTCTTTACAGGTGCAGACTGCCACGTTTTTCTCCCATGGGTCAGTCAGCTGGTACTTTCCAACTGTCAACCTTTCTGTTTGCAGACCAGCACCTGCACCACTGAACCACCAGGGCTCTCAGCTAGCTGCAAGGGCAGAACAGGGAATTGAACTCATGGGTCTGAGGGGTGTGAGTCGATAGCCTTGCTTTTTTACCTGATCCCTTGTGACACTCCTGTTCATATTTGGAGTGGGGGTGTGTGGAGGTGCCGTGGATCTGAAAGTCTTTGTGGTCACCCCACTGGTACCTGGTACCTCCCTGCACTGTGAGCGTTCGTGTTGCCATGGAAGCTGAATATGTTGGAAAGAAACGAGCGGCTTCTGTCTGTCTTATTTCTACCATCGGAGAGAAGACCCCCTTCTGAGGAGCTTCATTCAGGAGACCTACCCTTGGGGTCCTCCTAGAGTGTCGGGGACCCCTGGCCTAGACAAAAACAAGACCCCGAGCCAGCGAGGAAATGGTGTCCTTGAAAAATCAAACTTCTGGGAGGGTCACTGAGAACGTCAAGTAGGATTTCTGATGTGGCAGCCAGGACATAACCCAAAAGCCGTATCCTTCCTTTGCTGAGTAAACTGAGTGTTAGATGGCAGGTCACCTAGGGTCCCTAGCCTCTGACCCGGCCCCACCCGTTGGTGACATTGTGGGTCACAGCACCTTGCAGTTCCAGACCCTCACCAGCAGGTGTCGCTGTAGCACTGGCCTGAAGCTGCCGCCTCGGAATGGTGCCAGCAATGCAGGTGCGGTTCCTGCCTGACCTTTTCCTCCTTGTTTTCCCCGGAAAGCCTCAGAGAACCGTGAAAGCTCTATACGACTACAAAGCCAAGCGAAGTGACGAGCTGAGCTTCTGCCGTGGCGCCCTCATCCACAATGTCTCCAAGGAGCCCGGGGGCTGGTAAGACTGTATGTGGGGCTGGGCCGCTGGGTAGGTGAACTTCTTGGTAATGAGACCTTAGCTGCCCCTTTTATCTGCTGTTCCGCTGGCTTTGACCACCATGCACAACCCCTGGGAAAGGTGGCCGGTGTAAGCAGTATACGGGGGAAGTGGATAAACAACAATGATAATGTTTATGTGTAGGAATCCTTCCATGGGTGGTACAAACGGTGAAGCACTCAACTCTTAGCTGCAAGGTTGGCTGTTCAAACCCACCCAGAGATGGCTCTGAAGAAAGCTAAGAACCTTAAAAACCCCATGGAGCAGTCCTACTCTGCACTCATGGGGTCGCTAGGAGTCAGAATCGACTTGGCAACAGTTACCAACAAGAGAGTCTGTAACAGCATCTCCCATTTATTGAGACCTCCCCACAGGGCAGACACCAAGCAAATTGCTTTCACGCATTGCCAAACCAACTCCTCTTCATCACAACCCTGCAAAATGGTAACTGATTATCTCCACTTCACAGATGCAGAAAAGGAGGGTTTGTAAAGTTGTGTAGCTAGTAAACAGTGTGGGCTGCTCAAGCCTGTGCACTGAATTTCAAAGTCGTGCTCTGGGCATCTTCACGCCAAAGGTACCTGGGTGCACATGGACTTAGCTACTTCATCCCTTTGTTAACCAAGGAAGAAAAACTCACTGTCCATCAGTGGGTTCCCTCAGCCTATGGTGTTTTGGGCTAATTTTGACCTGGAGCAGTAAGAATTTGCTCATTACTTGAGCACTAGGAATTGGTTATTTCTTCCAACCACCAGACAGCTGGGCTCAGCTTACAACGTGCAGACAGTAGCTTATACACACTGGTCACGTCTGTGCTGAGAACTTTGGACTAGCATGTTGAATCCACACACTGACTCTAGCGGGTTGGTTCTATTATTAACCACGATTCACAGGTGAGGAAGCTCAGCCTCAGAGAAGAGGTTGTTCCAGGTTCCACATCAGGGCAGGCCGAGATTAATCTGCTGTCTGGCTCCATAGCCCACACTCTCTTACCCACCTCTTCCCTGTTTCTTTCCTCTCTGTATTACCGCAAGGGTCCAGGAGGTGGCACCAGGGAGCACCCTGCTGTCCTCACAGCACAGCCGGCACTGGTCTGCTAGGGTTGCTGGGACAGTCCAAGGAGTTGGTGGGTTTCTAAGCTTTATTGAGAATCAGGAGAATCCTCTTTGTCCAACCCAGTTTTCATTTGGACCTTTAGAATCACAAGCAGCTTTAGCGGAGTAACCTGAAGGTTGAGTACGCTGAGCATTCTTCATATACTTAGGCCCTGCTGAAAGTCCTCAGCATAGCTCAGCTCCTCTGTTCTGAGTGAAATCCTGCAATGGAATCAATCCGCTCTCTGTGTCATGGACGGAGACTGAGGGACACAGAGCCTGTGTGGTTGGTGGTGGAGCTGGAGTTTGACTCCAATCCGTCTAACGTCAGAATCTTTTCATACCTCTTTTTTCACTTACTTCACATGGTGGCTGGGAGCTTTTGTCTGCTGTGGCCTCTGCCTTCTTAAAGCGTAGAAGCACTTGGCTGTGGTGTATTTGGCCAGATGTTTGTTTCGACTGGTTTCCATCGAGTCGATTCAGACTACTGGAAACCTCACGTGGTCAGAGTAGAACGGCACTGTAGGCTTCCCGGTTATTGGCAGTAGATCATCAGGCCTGTGTTCCAAGATGCCTCTGGGTGGGCTTCAACAGCCAACCTTTCAGCTCACAGTTGAACACTTTCATCATCTGCATCACCTCGAGACTCTGATCCACACTTAGAGGATCACAGTGACCGCAATCTCACCTCACTGCTAGACAAGCAGAGGACCCTCTGAAATGCCTGCCGCCCTTCAGCTCCTGCAGTGTGAGTGTGGGAATGGGTCCGTCCATACCACCCTGCGAAGGCGCATTGACGCCGCTGTCTTTCTCTAGGTGGAAGGGCGACTATGGCGCCCGGATCCAACAGTACTTCCCATCAAACTACGTCGAGGACATTTCAACAGTTGATGTCGAAGAGCTAGAAAAGCAGGTGAGTTTCAGACACCGTAACAAGGGCGCCACTGGTCCTGCTGCTTTTGGAGTCCACTGGGCTGCTCAGTGTGTGGGTGTGCAACGTGCCGTGGTGTGATCCTAGTGGGCACCTCGGTGTGTGAGTGTGCACGTGCCGTGATGTGGGCCCAGTGGGCACCTCAGTGTGCGTGTGCCGTGTGTGGTCCTGGCAGTTCTGGAACAAGAGAACTGAATGATGAGGACGTTGGAAGTGTCCCCGGAGCTGTCATGTGTGGAAGCCACCTGACTTGTCCGCCATGTTGTCATCAGCATGTGCTGGGATGGGAGGCTGTGAATATGCAGGAGAATCCCCACTGGAGTGAGAATGGCCAGCTGGAGAATTTGTCGTTGCTTAAAGCAGCAAATGAAAAGCATTGAGCTTGGCCATCCAGGCGTGGGAACGTGCTTACCATGCACAAGGGAGTGTGTGTGCTAACCAGAAGGTGAAGGGCGGCCCCATGGGTGACTTCGGGGACGCGAGTCTGGGCACCAGATGACGATGCTCGCCCAAGGCCAGTGAGGGTCAGACCAGCACACAGTCCGCCCTCCGGAGGATGGCTCAAGGGCAGCGTGTACAGCGGGAGGCAGAGCTGAGAAGGCTGCCCCGGAGAGGCAGCAACACCAGATAGGCGGGGCACTGGCATCGCTTCCCTTAGACATGGGGACCTACAGAAGGTTGTTGAGCTGGGTTTTTGTTTGCAAATGGGGCCCATTTCTAATCGTGCCAAGTAATAGGTTCTGGACGTAGTGGTTTTGTCTGTATTAGGTAGAATATATTTAATAAAAGCATACTATTTTAATGACTTTTAAAATGGAAGTAAACAGGCACTAACAAAACACCTGCCATTTCCACATTCCTCCCTTGTACTGTTCCGTAACACTGTGTTCATCCTGATGTGTATAACTACCACCATTCTGTTTCCCCTGTAAAATTTTATTACGGTGATGATGTTGAGTTTAGACAGCAAAACCTACATCAATTCAGCCTCTTCTACATCTACACCTCGGGGGTGTCCCGACCTTCTTCTCGCTCCTTTTCTAAGCCTTTTGCCACATTGTGCAGATCCACTGTCTTCACTCAAAAGTTTCCCAAACAGAAACTCAGGACGCAAAACAGTAACTCCCCTGGGCCCCTTGTAGCTCCGATTGTGTCTGTGAGGTGGGGCCCTACAATCAGCTCTGCATGGTATCCCTCTCTCTACCGCGTCCCCAAGGCCCATCTGTGGTGTAGCGAGCATCAAGACCTCCTTTGTTTTTATGATCTGGTCTCATTCCGTTGGACGGAGAGACCACATTTATCTGTTGATGGACACTCCATTGGGGGCTTCTGGAAACAGGGGCTGAGCACACGTTTTGGAACCTGTTGCAGAATTCACCAGGCCCGCTTTTAAAGCACGTTGGAGGAGGAGTGTAGTGTTGACCCCACTGTGCTTCCTCGCTGCCCACCCCACCGACTGCCAGCTTCATTATCCTGCCATCTCCCTGCAGCCAGATCCTGTAGTGAAAAGGCATTTTCCGTGGGCAGTGTCCCCGTGCTATATACAGCGTCTCCGTGCTATATACAGCGTCTCCGTGCTATATACAGCGTGGGCTTTGGAAACCAGCTGTCTCGTCAGTATTCCTATGAAGACTATTATGGCTTACTTTTTGTTTCTTCGCAGATTATTGAAGACAATCCCTTAGGGTCTCTTTGTCGAGGGATATTGGATCTCAATACCTATAACGTGGGTAAGAACACACGCTGTCTAAACCGACTCTTGTTCAAATCCCCCAGAACTGGCTCTCAGGCCATTCTGAGCAGAGATGAGCTGTCACCTAGCCGATGGTACTGTGGCTGCTCAGTCCCTGAGGCCACATTGGTGAGTGGTCACCGGTTTTTGTCCACCATTAGTGTCTAAGGTGCTGAAACAGCCTGGAACATCACAAGCGCTGGGTGGCAGTGGCCCCTGTCATTGGTGGTGTCATTAGTGTTTCTGTGAGCTGGCCAGGCTGAACAGGGCTCTGGAGTTGGGGGCCTGGCTTTGGCGCCCAATGCTGCCTCATTTGCCAGGGTGGACCCTGGGCTGTGTGGGGCACCAGTGCTTGCTGGCCTTCTTGGTTCTTCCCATGATCCAGTAAGGTAGATAGGAGAGGGTGGCTTTACTGCCACGAACAGATGAGAAAACCCAGCTTCTGTGGGCTAATAACCTGGACTGCAAGGTCAGTTTGAACCACAAGGTTGGCGATGAGCTGCTCCTTGGAAACCCTGTACAGGGGTTGCTGTGGGTCAGAATGACTCGACGGCACTTAACAAGTAACCGCAGGCTGTGTCTGAGTCCTCTGGGAAGGTGACAGGTGAGCTGGGACTCGGGATGCCATGTGCTGCTCTGCAGAGTGAAGAAGGGACTCAGGTTACAGACTCGGGCTTTGGGATCACGCTGGTGACCCCAGTGGCATCCTCAGTGAGCCGCTGTGTTCTCGCTTGTGATGTGGAGATGGTGAGAGAACCGCTCCCCTTGGGTAGGTACTTGGGGCCGTCGAGTTGGTTCTGACTCACTGCGACCCTCAGGACAGAGCAGAGCTGCCCCTGATTCAGGGAATCAGACTGCCACATCATCCTGCCATGGAGCAGCTGGTGGGTCCGAACCGCTGACCTTGCAGAGAGCATAGAGCAGCCCAACACTTAATCTGCTGCAGCCCCAGCGCTGCCATTGTTACTGAGCAGCTAATATCCGTTCTTTAGCTCTGGTTTACTTACGTGTAAAAGCAATTGCGTATTGTGTTCATGCCCCAGGGCTGAGCTGCCATGTGGTTGTTGCTGACTGCCGAGCCAGTTCCGACTCATACAGCCACCCCTGTACAGGGTTTCCGAGGAGCGGCTGGTGACTTTGAAAAACTGACTTTGTGATTAGCAGTCTGGTGCCAATCCTATAGTGCCCTGGACTACGGTGTTGTTAAGTGCCATTGGATTTCCAAGGAGCAGCTGGTGAGTTTGAACCACTGACCTTGGGTTCAAACTGACCTTGTGGTCCAGTGCTGTATCCCACAGCACCACACCAGGACTCCATGTTAGATTCCCAACCAATGAGGCGCTTAAAGCCACAGACATTCCTTCTCATAAGCTTTGGAGGCGAGTGTGATGTGACAGTGTGGGCCTGGCTGATCTGGAATCTCACATCACCCTCTGGTTCCTGTACAGTGACACCAATCTTTGGATTCGGGTTCCACCCTCAATCCAACATGGTTCTCACCCTGAGCCCCTTCACTGAATTGTATCGGCAAACACCATGTTTCCAAATCAGGTCATACCTCAGGTTCTGAGGGTCAGGGCCCTGACTGGTCTTCTGGGGACTCCCTAAAGTAGTACGTGAGTGAACTGCCCAGACTAGGGCACCGAGTCTCCTGATGGTCTTGGTGACTGACGGGGGGTCCTCCCTCTCTCTCACAGTGAAAGCCCCACAGGGGAAAAACCAGAAACCCTTTGTCTTCATCCTGGAGCCCAAGAAGCAGGGAGACCCCCCGGTGGAGTTTGCCACTGACCGGGTGGAGGAGCTCTTCGAGTGGTTCCAGAGCATCCGCCAGATCACCTGGAAGATAGACACCAAGGTAGGTACTGAGCTCACCTGGGCCCAGGTGGGCCTGGCGCACAGAATTCTGGGAGGAGGGAATGAGGTGGGAGCAGGTGGCAGGACATCATCACGAAAGGATAGACAGGGATCCTGAGGTCCTCATGGGAAAGTGGACCTTCAGTATGTGTACAGTGACATTTCACGCCCAGGGCCTATCTGGCCTTGCTTATCTTGACCCATCGGCATGGCCGGCCTCCATGTACATACTTCCTTGTTTCTAAACCTTGTACAAAGGTCCTCCCCACAGTGCCTGGAGGAGACCTTACAGTTCAGAGACATGTCTTAACAGTCTGAAAGCCCTTACAGTCTTGCTCCACAAAGGACTGCCTCCCTCGATGGGAACAGACCTGTCGGCGTCCTTTTGACTGGGGCGTCTGTGTTGGAGCAGAAGTGGTTTGAGGAGTTGTGAGGTCTTGGGTAAAAACAGGACCTTGGAGTTGGGTAGATAGGAGTCTGGAGCTGGGCAGGACTGGGTGCAGGGCAATTACGGAACCTCTCTGGGCCTTGGTCTCCTTGTGTGGAAAATGAGAAGTTTGGGAGGCGTTAAGCCTGGCGTCTGAGATGTAGCAGGACCCGTCCTCTGATGGATGGATGGCGTGCGGCCTTCGTTTGGAGTCAGACCAGGCTGTTAGACCTGGGATACTTGCTCTCCTGACTGCAGAATTGGAAACTTCAGGGTTCCTGGTGTTCCACTTGATTCTATATCACATGTTGAACCAAAGTGTAGACTTGAGACCCATTGAGACCCCTCCAATTCTGGATATAGCTGATGAGTTCACCCTTCAAGGCTCATAGAGTGGCATCCAGTATCCCCTAAGTCACCCAGTAACTCACCTGGAGAGATGTCCCCGTGTTTAGAAGATTCACCCTGATGGGGCCCATCAGCCTTGCCCTGTTCTAGACCCCAGCATGGCGTCTCACAAGATCCATCACTAGTCCTTAGCGTGAACCAGGAGCTAGTCATTCTTCCTCTGCTATTCATAAGGTTTTCAGTGACGAAATATTCAGAAATAGTTCGTCACTCTTTCTTCCTAGTCTGTCTTTGTCTGGAAGCTCATCTGAAACCTGTCAACCTTGGGTGACCCTGCTGGTATTTAAAATACTGGTGGCATAGCTTTCAGAATCACAGCAACTTATAAGCCACCACAGTGCGACAGACGAGTGAGTGGTGGACAAGACCTTTTTAAAGTTTTGAAGAGCAAAGATGTCAGCTTGAGGACACCCAAGCCATGGTATTTTCAGTAACCTCACATACATGCGAAAGCAGGACAGTGAATAAGGAAGACCATAGAAGAATTGAAGCTTTTGAGTTGTGGTGTTGGAGGAGAATACTGAAAGTGCCAAGGGCTGTCCATAGAACCAACAGATCCATGTTAGAAGAAGTGCAGCCAGAGTGCTCCTTGGAGGCTAGGATGGTCTAACTGTGTCTCTCATACTTTGGACATATTGTCAGGAGGAACCAGTCACTGGAGAAGGATATCATGTTTGTCAGGGTAGAGGGTCAGAGAAAAAGAGGAAGACCCCCAGCAAGATGGATTGGCAGCATCAATGGGCTCAAACATGGCAACGATAGTGTGGTTGGCCCAGGATTGGGCAGTGTTTCGTTCTGTTGTGCACAGGGTCACTATGAGGTGATACTGACTTGATGGCACCTAACAAGAACAGTAGGCCTTTAGTTATTGCTGTCAAGGGCAGTCAAGTCGGTTTCGATCCATAGTGACCCTGGATAGGATTTCGAGGAGCGGCTGGTGAGTTTGAACTGCCAACCTTGCAGCATGGACGCAGGGCTGCCTTCTCTTTGAAAAGCCCTCCATCTGTAAAAAGCGCAGTGTTGGTGAGGTATTCCTGTATTCACCGGACACATCCTGTTCTCTCTCTGGGTGTGTGTCAGCTGCGTGGTTCTCATCAGGGACTGTCTGGGACCACCTGTCCTGACTGTCCTATAGCATAGATCTTCAGGGCTCCTCTAGCCACGTTTGAAGGAAGACAGAATCCACCACTCCTTTAGAGACTGTTCCCCTGAGACTTTGTTTATATGCACCTTGGCCACTTCTGAGAATGGAGCACATGTGGACCTCATGTCTTGTCATGACACTCTCTGCCTAGTGCAGCCTGCTGTTTCCAGCTGTGGTTGTGTGTGTTTGTGGTTGTGTGATTTTGGTGAACGTTGACATAGCCGTCCAACATTCAACAATTCACACAAGTTTTGTTTCATGTCGCTAATTGTTGGTGGTGTTAAATGCCATTGAGTCGGGTCTGAGTCATAGTGAGCGACCCAGTAGAGTTTCCAAAGAGTGGCTAATAGGTTTGAACTGCCAACCTTGTGGTTAGCAGTCTAGTGCTTACCCTACACTGCCACACCAGGACCCCCGTCACTGACTGTAGTTGTAACATTGCCTATCCTACTTCCGCTGTGATTCCCGTTTCCGTTTCGCCTGAACTTTGCCCTTGGAGAAACATTGACCTTTTGATCACATCTGGTTGAGGCCCGTCTCTTATTTGGCTGAAAACTGAGCCACAGGGGTGAGCTTGGTTCCAAGCCTCAGCGTGTGTCAGAGCCGTAGCTTCCAGGTTTCTCCCAGTGTCTGTCGCACCATCAAGCCTGGCCATTGTTGGCTTGGAGTTTTGTTTCCCACATTTGTCTCCCACTCCACTCAGTGGAGAAACAGCAACTTCACTTGCAGGTTCTTTTTCCTCCCATCCCAGAAAGCTTTCTGAAATTCAGCTGAGCTGTGGAGGGCTGATGATCTCTGCCTTTGATCTCCAGCTCCTCTTAACTAGGTTTTACATTTGAAGGATTTTATGAGAAGAAGAAAAAAAATATTAAGCCTCATTATTTGATGGTTAAAAACTCTGGGAGTCGGCACATCGGCTGGATTCCTGTTATGCCTTGTCGGGGACAGATCAGGAAGAAATCCTCCTCCTGCCTTAGGGAAACCAGCCTGGATTTAGGCCTCAGTTCATTGCCTGCAGTCCCCCCCACCCCCCAACCCCCACACCCCCGTGCCTGTGTCTGAGGACTGCCTCAGGAAGCCGGATTTTCAACCCCCCAGCCCCCTGGCCTCTTCCAGCCTTGGCAATCATAGGATAGACCAAGAGACCTGGTGATATGGTGAGCTGCCCGTCTGGAAAGTAACTTGTGGACACTTGGAGAGAAGCAAATGACATTTCATCTGTAACACAGCGTCCCTTGCTGAGCTTAATAGACTCCTGGTGCCCACTAGCATGCTGCTGCCCTGCGCTTGGTGAAGATTTACGGCCTCAGAAACCCTACATGCGGTCGCCATGAGTCAGAATCACTCAATGGCAGCGGCTTGCTAGTCATGAAGGGTAGGCTGTGTTTGTTGCAAGCATTTCCCCTCCCCTAAACCACCTCACGTTGAAAACCAAGCACCAAGAACATACAGCCAAGTGGACACCCTGCGGTCTGTAAAGAAATTGTTGTTGTGAAGTACCTTTGTGTAGGTTCCAAAACATAGCTGCCCTGGGAGGTTTTCCGAGGAGCCGCTGGTGGGTTTGGACCGCTGGCTTGTTGGTTAGCAGTCCAGTGCTGACCCTAGAGTACCATAAGGGTTGGTCGGTCAGTGGTGTGCCGTGGAGTCCGTTCATTTTTATTGGAACAGAGCCCCCGGTAGTCATGAACTTGCTGACCTTGAGGTTAGCAGCCCTGCTCCTAACTACCACACTACCCGAGCTCCTACCATGCCATACCATGACTCTGTAAAGAAATAGTGCTTCTGGAAAAGGAGCATTTTGTTACGAGTGTGAGAAACTTTCTCGATACCAACAAACACTCCTGTAATCCAGTCTGTACTCATGTTAACGAGAGAGGTTTCCTTTTTTTGGATTTTGCAAAATCGGGTGCCCAACCCAGTAGACCCGGGCAGATGCGCTGCATGGCCGGCCCGCCAATAGTTTTTTTCCCGTCTTGAAAAAGCCCCTTTCTCTAGTTCTCCTTTTTTAAGGAGCTCTGGTAGCGTAGTGGTTACGAGTTGGGCTGTTCGAAACTACCAGCTTTTCCATGGGAGAAAGATGAGGCTTTCTGCTCCTGTAAAGAGTTACAGCTTCAGCAATCCTATACAGTGTCGCTATGAGTTGGAACCGAGTCCACAGCACATAACAGCATTCCTAGAACAGATTTCTTTCCTCCCCTCGGGCTGGTTTAGTGATCTCCTGAGCCCTTCATTCCTGAAGTGGGGCTATCTTGACAATTTCTCAGATGAGCAAGAGGCCAACTATCTTTGCCGTCGGTTGTATCCCCATTTAGCCTGCACCGTTCCCTCTTGGCTTTGTGGCTTTAATAGGAAGGATGCACAGCAGCTTCCTGTCATGGTCACCGCTGAGACTCACGTCAAAGACATCTTTGTTGGTCACTCTTCAGGTCTAGCTCCCCTGGGATCAGGGTGGTGCAAACCGTTCACACGCTCAGCTGCTAAAGGAAAGGTTGGAGGGTTGAACCCTCCCGAGGTACTGCCGAAGAACAGCCTGGTGAGCTTTTTCTGAGAAATCAGCTGTTGAAAACGCTATGGGTACAGTTTTCTGACACACAGGGGGCCACCCTGAGTCGGTGTTCATTGATGACAGTTGCTGCTTGTGGGTGAAGGCTGTCTGTGGAGGTAATGGGGTGTCTTTACCTGCGGGTTTCCTCACAGGAGCTGTACTTGGAGAAGCCTCTCTGATGGTTGAAGAAACTGAGGGCAGTGGGGAGGTCGGATGTGCCCAGTAAATAGCAGGGCCAGGGTTCGAACCCATGTGTCCAACTCAGTTCACCCTTAGCTATTGTGTCCGTCACTAAACCAAAGACCAAACTGAGCATCTGGCACCTGTGGGGTCTGTTCTCAGAAGCTGTCTGTGGGTACAGGGTGCGGGGCCGGGAGACATACTGAAGAGAGACAGTGGGTATAGGTAGGCGTGACCCTGAAGTTCCCAGAGACGGGTGATTTGGGACGGGTTCTCGGAGGAGGAGTTGGAGGTGGTCACTGTGGTTCAGGGGACCCCCGGTGTGGAACAGGCATGTGGGTGGGCTCACTTCCAGGTGCTGATGGTGCGTCCAAGGAGGCGGAGTGAGAACTCAGGCTGGGGGCCACACTCGGCCTTTAACCCTTTCTAACTAGTTTTTGTTGAAGCCATGTGTTTTCAGTAATGGAAGGCATTTAGAATGAAATGAAAAAACAACAACATGGATTGTGATATAGTTAGCTGGGCCACGTGTGTCCTGAGGGATCCTGGTGCTGGATGTGGTGTGATGAGTCCCGTTTCTTCAATATCAGGCAGCTACTCAACCTCAGCCAGATGGCAGTATGCACTGAAAGTGGGATGATGGCATCTCACTAAACCCCCGAGGCCGACTGTAGGTGGGCACTGTCTGTCCCACGGGGCATGAGAGGTCTAAGCATCTGGCCTGGTCCCTGCTGCAGATCTCTGTGAACTGGAGACACAGCCCCCCTACCCTTGGGTGTGTGGATGAACTTACTAGTCAAGAAGCACTCAGGGTGTGATGACGGAATCAGTGGACTCTGTCTGCTAGTACCGGCCACTCTCTCAGGGTCCACCTTGACCAGTGAGGGAGCAACAGAATTTAGGGAGTCCGACGAGGGGTACGTTGGGGCATCCATCCTGATTTGGACATAGTGGACGGAGTGTGAGGACAAAGAGGTGCGGGCCACGGGCTCCTGAGAACTAGGTTTGGACAAGTTCTAACAGTGCAGTTGTGAGGCAGGGGGTTCAGGAGAGAGGGCTGGTGACAAAGAAGACCCCACCCACCCAATATATATATTTTTTTGAGGGTGGCGTCTAGGCACTGGGTGGGGGTGTTTGTCAGGGTGAGAGACGAGGGAGGGAGGAAGGGAAGCCCTTCAGTTCCAGGGTGAGAGACAAGGGAAGGAGGAAGGGAAGCCCTTCAGTTCCATAAAGACTCGAGGCTGCAGGAGGAGGGGGTGGAGGCTGGTGGAAGGAGGAAAATCTCTGCTGAGGAAGGAGCTGAGAGGCAGGGATCCTTGGCCCAGGCCAACACTGAAGCGGCTGACCCCTCACAGGAGAACAACATGAAGTACTGGGAGAAGGACCAGTCGATCGCCATCGAGCTCTCCGACCTCGTTGTCTACTGCAAACCCACCAGCAAAACCAAGGACAACTTAGGTAACATTATCCCCCACACTAGGTCTCTTTCCTGGTATGAAAGACTTGGGTTTTCTCTGTGTCTGATGGTGTGTGGTTAACAGTCCCAGGAAGAGGCCTCTGGCTGAGGGTGTGGAAAAGTTCAGCAGACGCTTAAGAGAGAACATATGAGTTTCTTAGAGAGCTGTCAACCAGTTCAGCCCTGTTCAGTCACTGCCAAGGAGCAACACCGGAGCAGACATAAATCTGTAAACTTTGGGTGAACTGGAGTGATACCTGAAACAGGAAAAATGACAGATCGAAGCTGGGCTAGGAACTTTGTTTCCTTTGTCCGGCAGCATGAATGTTGCAGTAGCAACCGCGCCCCTTGTCTGTACAGTGGGAAACAGCAGTGTCCAGGCCCCTCTTCAGGCTCCTGACAGGGAGTGCTCAGTACACCTCTCCCGATTCTCCCGTTCCAGGGGCTTTGATCTGTAATTTTCCCCATTCGAGATTCGCTCGAATTTTACTGATTTGAAACCCCGGATTCCAATGGCTGCAAACAATACACATGTACTATCTAACTTATGATTGTGAAGAGGGTGAAGGTCTGCAGAAAATCAGTTTTCCATTCAATAATTCCTGTACATTTTGTTTCCCTACAAGGTAGAAACATCACTCTCCCTCCTTGTGTTCCCCTTCCATGCTTCCTTCCTTACTCCCCCCTCTGCCTGTCTTCAAGTGGTAGTTACCGCACTCGGGTTACATTGTTCCCCTTACACACCTGTCTAAGTGTAGTTAACGCACTGGGGTTACATTGTTCCCCTTACACACCTGTCTAAGTGTAGATTCCGCACTAGGGTTACATTGTTCCCCTTATATATCTGTCTACTGTTTGGCTGAAAATGGAGCCAGTTCCAGGCCTGAAAGGGTGTCCCACTAGTGTGTATCCAACTACAAGCCTTATCTTGCTTCTAAGATTCAGAGTTTTGTCCCACATTTTTTGCTCACTTTTCCTAGGACCTTTTATTGTGTGATCCCTTTCAGTTCAGAGTGACTGACCCACAACGGTAGTCAAAACACCACACATGTCGTCTCAGCATCCTGGAGACCAGAAGTCCAGGTGATGGTGGGGCTGTGCTCCGCCCGTTTGCTCCAGGGGAGAATGTGTTCTTGACTCTTCCAGCTCCTGGTGGCTGCCATGCAGCATGCCTTGGTTTCTGGCCACCGCTCTCCAGACCCTTAGGATTCTGTTTCAGGTCCTGTCGGCCATTTTTCAGCCGGCCACAATGGGATTAAGGAGTCCTGGTGTGTTGCAGTAGGGTCCGCACTGGACTGCAAACCAAAAGGCTGGCAGTTCAAAACCAGAGTTTCTCCTTGGAATCCCTATACAGTGTCACTATGAGTTGGAACCGAATTGACAGCATGTCACAACAAAGGGATTACAAAATCAGTCTAAGGCCAGATTCTCCAGAGTAGCAAGTTCTGGAATGATCTGATTCTGGGCTGTGTGTAGTTTATTTCCCCTTTTCTTTTGAGAATTTTCATAACTCCTTCCTCTTGGAGTTAAGTATCCGTGACCCCAGGACAGAGGGCCTAAGAGAAGGAACTGGGAGGCTAGTCCCTGGGTACCGCCACATGCCCAGAACTGAATTCAGCCCAGCTCTGTGTGTTAGTTACCTGGAAGGTTCTCTTTGCCTTTGTTTTCTTCCCCAGCTAAACCCCTTCCCCATTAGAGCCCTTCCCTGGGGGCAGCAGCTGGTTCTGATGATACTTGGTTGACGGGTCTCTGTCCGAACCCACCCTGCCCTCTTTTATAGCTTCTATACTTTCATGATTTCTTAGTGGTAGGCTTAAGTAAAAAATATATATATAATAATAATACTAATGCTAGACTAAATGTCTGGGGAAATGGGCTGTCATTTATCACCTGGGACTCCCGGAGGTTCAGAATCCATGGTTGTAACAAAGCAATATATCACTTTCAGTGCTTGTGGGTCTCGTCACAGAGCCTCAAGACAATGCATAGATGGGACACAAGCTAAAAGTGACTTTGTGTGTGCAGAAAACCCCGACTTCCGAGAAATCCGCTCCTTCGTGGAGACCAAGGCTGACAGCATCATCAAACAGAAGCCCATGGATCTCCTGAAGTACAATCAGAAGGGCCTGACCCGCATCTACCCCAAGGGACAAAGGGTCGACTCTTCCAACTACGACCCTTTCCGCCTTTGGCTGTGCGGCTCCCAAATGGTTGCACTTAACTTCCAAACTGCAGGTAAGGGAGGCTGAGCTCGAGTCACCCCTGCAGCGTGGGTGTCCCTGGTATGAGGCACACCCCACGAGGGGCAAGTGACAGAAACTAAGTCAGTTTGGCTTAAAATGCATCCACTCATGTCATTAGAAAGTCTAGGAGTGGATCCTTAGCTTCAGGTACGGCTGGATGCAGGTGCTCAGTGGCTGTCTCTGGGGCTTGCTCTTTTCTCGGCCGGCCCCACTTTGAGAGCTTCATGCCCAGGTTCTCTGCCAGAGAGACAGGTAAGCTGGAAAAGGCAGGCACACAAAACTGGCCGTATCAATCACAATGTTTTACATTCTTGTTCTTTATGCTCTTAGGAATCTACAGCGTATTTCATTTTATGGTTCCTCAGATACTTTTTTTTTTTCTTTAACAAATGGCAGGCTTGTACAACCCTGTGCCGAGCAAGTCTTATCGGCACCATAGCTCCCTACAGTGTATGCTTGCTTTGTGTCACACTGGGCTCATTCTGACAAAATTCCAAACTTTCCATCATGTTTTTATGATGCATGTAGTATGTTTCAGTGCACTGGGAAACCAGAAAGTCTGTATGACTCTCTTGATAATGGTGGTCTGGCACAGACCCCCGAGATCCCCGAAGCGTGCCTGTGTTCCTCAGCGGGCCCACTGCATAGCTCTCCATGAAGCGGAACCTTGTTCATTTAATGCATCCACTGTTGGTTCCCATGTAGGGGTTCCCATCACAGCAACACTGCTTCCTGTCAGCTGATGGGAGCATGTGGGGGGAATGGGTCACCCCACTGTGTGCACTGATGTCTGGGTCGCTGCCCTGAAGATGACCACAGACCACCTGTGTCCGCTTGTGCAACTCCAGAAGGGGAATGCAAGTCTATGGAACATTTGGATAGGCCCTTTTCAGCTGAATTTCATTTTTGACCACTACTTGAATTAAGATGATTTTCTTTTTCACACACAGGGTGTTTTTAGCCTTCATGTATCCTTTTTCCTATAGAAATGGGTGTCTTTTAGGTTTTAATAACATTTTACAGTTCTGAGATTTTTAAAATCCTATTACCCTTCTTCCAGGAAAGGGGCCTTCAAAGAATCTGTGGAAATATACCATTGTCTTTCAATTCCAGTTTCATCTCTAACTTTTTGAAACCTCCTCATACGGGTTTTTGTGACGGTTTTAAAACCATGTCTTGTCTTCCACTCAGAGATCTACTTGAACAATTGCCCACCTTGGTTTTGGAGGGGGGAGGAGGTGTAAGTCACTACCCAAGGCCACTGCTGGCCAAGGACTTAGAGACCTTTCTGACTGTGGCTATTTTCCTTCCTAGACAAGTACATGCAGATGAATCACGCCCTGTTTTCCCTCAACGGGCGGACGGGCTACGTCCTGCAGCCTGAGAGCATGAGGACCGAGAAGTATGACCCTGTGCCTGCTGAGCCCCAGAGGAAGATACTGATGACCCTGACCGTCAAGGTGCCACTAGGGAGGGGGGCACCTGAGAGGCTGCCTTGTTTAACCCTCAGCATGACAGAAAGTGTGGTGGCATCTTTAATAGAGACGTCGACTCTATAGAAGGAGCTCTGGTAGCATAGTGGTTACGAGTTAGGTTGCTAACCTCAAGGTCAGCAGTTCGAAACTAATAGCCATTCTACAGGAGAAAGATAAAGCTTTCTGTGCCCATAAAGATATGCAGCCTCGGAAACCCCATGCAGAGTTGCTATGAGGGTGAACCGACTCCACAGCACACCACCACTACTCTATATATAGTGTCAATGAGAGGAAAGGGGATTGAGAGGAGGCCCCTTCCCTTGTCATCTGGGGTGTGGGTTTAGCCTGCAGCCTGAGAGAGGTGGACATAGGGCCTGAACTTTCTCCCTGGACAGATGCTTCCCTTTTGACCAAGTTGTCCTAACGAGTGCACACCTCTCTGGAGTTGTCGACATGACAGATTGGTCTGTCGTTTGGTTGAAAACCACAGGGTGGGTTCATTTCCAGACCTGAAGGGTTCCACCAGTCTCCATCCCGGCTCCTCTACTGTAATCCCATCTAGGTCTTCTCGTCTCGAGGTCGTGGCAGCTGGGGTCCTTCATTATTAGTTCTTTGGACTAATTGTTTCCATGAAGCTGAGGGGATAGTCCTTCTTTTAGCCCTCTAGAGAACAGAGTTTATTCTTCCAGGGGCTGGCCAGGTTTAGGTCCAATGATTTTTTCCATCAATCTAACTTTCAGAGTAGGAGCCCTGGGTAGTGTGGTGGGTTACATGCTAGGCTGCTTACCACAAGGTCCTTAGTCGAAATCTACCAGTTGCTCCATGTGAGAAAGATGAGGCTCTCTGCTCCCATAAAGATTTACAGCCTCGGAAAGCCTACACAGGGTCGCTCGGATGGAATTGACTCCCTGGCATACAGCCATGCATTACCACAGGGTTTCTGAGGCTGTAAGTAAATCTTTACAGTAACAGAAAGCCTCGCCTTCCTCCCCTGGAGTGGCTGGCAGAGTCAAAGATACCTTGTGGTATCTGACCCAGCTCGGAACCCTCTACCATGTTGCTATGGATCCGATCACGCTCCACCATCACTACCAACTTTTACAGGCTGTGTTGTCTCTGTGGGAGTTTCAAAGCCTGGGAGGAGAAATTTCCGTTTTCCCATGAACTTTTGAAATCTCCCTTCGTATAACCAAAGGTCTTTGCATAAAGACCACCCACTGTAGGAGAGCTCTGTGTCTGTGGAGACCTGAACCCCAAGACACCCACCTCTGATGTCCTAGGTTCTTGGTGCCCGCCACCTCCCCAAGCTTGGCCGAAGCATTGCCTGTCCGTTTGTCGAGGTAGAGATCTGTGGAGCTGAGTACGACAGCAACAAGTTCAAGACAACAGTTGTGAGTAAGTGGCTGTGGTCTGTCTGCCTTCAAACATCCTCAGTGTCTGATTTTCAGGGGTCTCCTTCCTGCTGCGACTCAACTGTGGGTTTTTTCACGCCACGCAGGCCAGGCGTCCTAGCATTGCCTCTGCCCTGGTCCCCAGTAAAAAGGAGCCCCAAGAACAGCTCAGATGCTGACCAGTTAAACTGGGGGATTGAGCTGGGCGAGGTCTCCAGGGGCACATGATCTGATTTCCTCTTCCTTCTCTCTGAAGACCAGGCCTACTTAGTGGGAAACATTTCATCCACAGTAATTTTATCCAGGAGAGGGCTCTAGAAGGTTACTGCTTCTAAAGATGTCCCACCTGGTTCAGCCAGTGTGGGTTTTCCTAATGATGAATCTGAATTCATATGAGAGCAGGTATGAAAATTCACTGTAACATGACGTTTCTGTCACGATGGGGCTTCAAAAAGTGCATGGAAAATTCCATGATCTTTTCCTTCCATTTTGCTGTGAACCAAAAGGTTGGAAGTCCGAGTCAACCCCAGAAGGCCTGGTCAGCTGGCCTAGTGAGCCCCCAGAATCCCTCTGGAGCACAGTTCTGCTCGGACACACGGAGCCACACAGGACACAGCCTCCAGAGACAGGTTTACCAGGAGGGGCGGAATGGAGGTGACCTCTAATGAGCTCTTTCCTCTCTCCAGATGACAACGGCTTAAATCCTGTCTGGGCTTCGACACAGGAGAAGGTGACATTTGAAATTTACGATCCAAATCTCGCCTTCCTGCGCTTTGTGGTTTACGAGGAAGATATGTTCAGTGACCCCAACTTCCTGGCTCATGCTACGTACCCCATTAAAGGTATCCGATCAGGTAAGAGACTTGGGTTGGTTTCATCCTGGGGTTTGTTACTGACGGCTTTTAGAAAGAGTGAGGACCAAAAAACAATAACTCAGAGAATGTGTTCTCTGGGTGGTAAAATTCTTAGGAAACTGATGAGGCTTCTTGGGGAGGCTGGTCAGCTCATGATCTCGGCTGGGCCAACCAGGCCTGCTGCTGAGTGCTCGGGAAGACCAGGGTAGACAGGCCGTGGTATGCTTCCGAGTCGGTACACCTGCATGCAGACTCGGGTCCCATCTCTTCTCCCCAGCTGGCGTGGGTGTAGTAGCACGTTACCCCAACTCTCCTGCAGCATGGGGATGGCCTGTTGTGATTTTCTAACTTGCTAACAAGTGTGGCGCTGTAATGCACTGGACTGCAAGGTCGGTTTGAACCGCAAGGTCGGCTGTGCACGCTCACCACCCACTCCTAGGAAACCCTACACAGAGTTGCTATGGGTCAGAACCGACACAACAGCAACAAACAAGACAATATTCCTTCCTGGTTTGACAAGGATCATTTTGTGTTTGCTTGGGACCACGTGTTGGGGATTGAATTGTGTTCCCAAAACATGTGTCACTAATGCTCACCCCGGGTTACAAACACCTGACTCACAGACAGCTCTCATTTGCCTTTCACATTTTATAGAGATTTGCCCTCACTTTGAACACATTCTCCGACACCTTCACGTTTGCAACTTTTAAATCATGGATAAGACTTGACATTTTTTCTGGCACTACTACATCCCAAACCCACTGCGCCTGGAGTCCATTTCAATTGCTGGAAATCCCAAGGAGCAGATCTTTTGAGTCCTGTGGGGTCGCTAAGACTGAATGTCCATGGGCGCAGACAGCTGGTGGGTCGGAACCACTGACCTTGCGATTAACAAGCCACCAGGGCTTTCTTGGACTAAAGGTTCAACAAGAACCACGTGCTCTTACTTACGTACAAATTGTGAAAGACAGAGTTAGGAACGGATCTTGTCCATACCCCCAGAGCCTGCCTGTACAGTGGTTATATTCCATTTGGGAATGGATTGTTTGTTATGTCACTGACACAGAGTTAATGTAGGGTGTGTCTTGAGTTAAGGAACAGATTCAACAAGCACAGACTGGAGTGGGAACCATAGATGCCAAGCCGCATGGAAATCTCCAATGACCCGGAACACTCTGGTTTCACACGTCTAGCCTCCTAACCTGGAGGAACATTGGTGAATGGAGTGGGAAAGTTGGAATCAAAGGGGAAGGATCCTTAGATAGAAAACATGGCCTTGGTGAGAGTTACACTGCTGGAGAAACCATTTATGGGAAATACCTCTTCAACAATATTAATGGTGACTGTATGCATGGACCTCACCAGGGGGAATACACAGAAATCAAATTAACTACATCTGTGGGAAGAAACAGTGGAGAAGCTCCATCTCATCAGCTAAAACCAGGCCAGGGGCAGACTATGGAACACACCGTCAATTGTTCACGTAATAGCTGAAGAAAGTTAAAGCAGGTCCACAAGAGTCTAAATAAGAGCTTATTTAGAGACAAATCTGTTTCAAGAGCAGATTTGATGCATTAGACACTAATGACTGAAGACCAGAAGAGTTGTGGGATGACATCAAGAACATCATCCATGAAGAAAGCCATGACCAAAATGGATGTCAGAAGAGATTCTGAAACTTGCTATTAAACAAAGAGACGTAAGAGAGTTGGACAAAGTCAAGTATTATAATGAAATGTGTAAAGACCTGGAGTTAGAAAACCAACAGGAAAGAAATATACTTTGTAGCAATCTGCAAGTTGAACTAAAGAAAAAATTCAAGACTTGACTTGAAAATTTTTGAATGATATAGAAAACATCAAAAGAAGAGGGAAGGTATCTACAGAGTCACTGTACCAAAAAGAAGTAGTCAACGTTCACCCATTTCACGAAGTACCATAGGATCAAGAACCGATGGTATTGATGGGAAAAGCCCAAGGTGCACTGAAATCAGCACTGGCAAAGAACAAGGCTCTGGGAATTGATGGAATACAAACTGAAATCTTCTGACATACTGATGCAGCACCGGAGGTGCTCACTCATCTAAGTCAGGAAATTTGAAAGTCAGCAACCTGGCCAACCGATTGGAAGAGATCCACATTTGTGGATCTGATTTCAAGAGAAGTGACCTAATGGAACATGGAAATCATCTAACCCTATCATGAATATCATATACAAGCAAAATTTTGCTAAAGATAATTCAAAAATACTTGCAGTAGTACCTTGAGAGGAAGCTGTGAGAAATTCCAGCGGCTTCAGAAGAGGATGTGGAGTAAGGGATATCACTGCTGATGCCAGATGGATCTTGGCTAAAAGCAGAGAATTGCAGAGAGATATTTACCTGTGCTTTATAGACTATGCAAAGACTTTCGACTCTGTAGATCATGACAAACTCTGGATATTCAGGAACACTTAATTGTGCACATGAGGAACCTGTACTTAGACCAAGAGGCACTTGTTAAAACAGAACAAGGGGACAGTGAATGGTTTAAAATCAGGAAAGGTGTGTCAGGGTTGTATTCTTTCACCATACTTATTCAACCTGTATGCTGAGCAAATAATCCAAGAAACTGGACTGGAGGAAGGCACATAACCTTGGTTGCCACAAGTGAAGACAACTTGAAGCACTTAGTCATGACGGTGACAGACAACAGCCTTCCGTATGAATTACCCCTGAACATGAAGACCATGGAAATCCTCACAACTGGGCCCATAAATAGCATCGTGATAAATGGCAAGAAACTTGTCAAGAATCGGATTCTACTTGAATGAACGATCAATGCTCATGAAAGTGCAGTCAAGAAATCAAATGACGCATGTTTGTACTTTCATATTGTTTTCAACAAACTCTTCCCTTTGTGGCACAATTAGAGTTACAGAACAAAATGCAAATACCACCCATTACAAAGGCTCCTTTCTTGCCACAGTTGGGGAGAGAAAAGGGATAGAAGGGGTAGGTTTGATGACTTCCTCACCATATGCATTCAGAGTTTTGGAAAACATTGTTTAGAGGTAATAAATACTCTCTTTGAGTTTGTTTATACTGTTGTTGTTGTTAGGTGCCATTGAGTCAGTACTGACACATAGTGACCCTATGCTCAGCAGAACAAAACACTGCCTGATCCTGGGCCAACCTCACTACTGTTGCTACTCTTGAGCCCATTGATGCTGCCACTTTGCCAATCCATCTTGCCATAGGTTTTCCTCTTTTCTTCTAACCCTCGACCTTACCGAACATGATATCCCTCTCCAGTGACTGGTCTCGCCTGACAATATGTCCCAAGTATGAGAGACCAAGTTTGGCCATCCTGGCCTCCAAGGAGCACTCTGACTGCACTTCTTCCAACACAGATCTGTTGGTTCTTTTGGCAGTCCATGGCACTTTCAGTATTCTCCTCCAACACCATAACTCAAAAGCATCAATTCTTCTACGGTCTTCCTTATTCACTGTCCAACTTTAGCATCCATATGAGGTTATTGAAAATACCATGGCTTGGGTCAGGCACACCTTAGTCCTCAAGCTGACATCTTTGCTCTTCAACACTTTAAAAAGGTCTTGTGCAGCAGATCTGCCTAATGCAATACGTCGTTTGATTTCTTGACTGCTGCTTCCATGAGTGTTGATAGTTGATCCAAGAAGTATGAAGTTCTTGAGAACTTCTGTTTTCTCCGTTGATAAGAATATTGTTTATTGGTTCAGTGGTGAGGATTTTTGTTTTCTTTACATTAAGATGCAATCCATACGGGGTGCTGTGGTCTTCAATCTTCATTAGTTAGTATTTTAAGTCCTTTTCACTTTCAGCAAGCAAGGTTGTATCATCTGCATATATTATTAGTGCAAGAATAATAATTGAATGAGCTCAAACCTGAATGGCCCAGGGCACTGAGGAAACAGTGGTATAGCCCTGTATTCAGGAGTAGATACAAGGATAAAAGCTTTCAAGACAATCCAGGAATCTACAGTGAGTCTCCAGCACAAAGGTTAAAGGAAAACTGCAAGACCGGAATTACTTAAGTAGGTTTCTGTGCGTTGTGATTTAAGAGACTAGCAACCCTTCACCAGATGAATGGATACACAAGATGTGGTGTGACCGTACAGTGGAATATTATTCCAGATACATGCTGAATGACACGGATGAGCCTTGAAAACAAGAGGCTACGTATAGTCTATCAGACACGAAAGGACAAATACTGCATGATCCCACTTACATCAAGTAGCTAGAATACCCGCTTATATAAAGTATCTAGAATAGGCAAATGTGTAGAGTCCAGAGTTTATTCAGGGCAGTGGGAGGTGTTGAGTTTCTATTAAGGTTGATGAAAATCTGGAAACAGTGGTAAGAAATCTGTACCACAGTGAACATAATGAAACTGAATTGTATACGTAAAAATGGTTGAAATGGCAAATGTCTTGTTATACTTACGGATAATGGAGTTTTTCCATGAACCTTTTGAAGCCCCTCATATTTCACCACTATCAAAAATAATGAAAGAAATCCAATCACATGCCTTAACTAAGACACTGTGAACAATGACTGGTTCCTTTTGTGATAGGAACCAAGACTGAGCGGGGAGAGGGAGGCTTTTGTTCTTACTACTTCATTGGAACAAACTTTTGGAGACGTGTTGCTTCATACAAGGAAGCTTCAAAAAGAGGTGGAAATGAAAAGATGAGTTTCGAAGCAGCCCCACCTCGCCTCCTCAAATGAAAAGAAAACACTTACGTGACCATCAAACCCAGGCCCTAACTGCCGGCACAGAATGGCTTACAGAGAAGGTCAATACAACTGCACTGGAAACTCTCCCATGCTAAATGCATTCCTGCATCCTGGGCTCGATAATGCCCTAATGAAGGAAAGGGATGTGGGAATCTGTTACTCGTTTCAGTATACTGTCCTCAGGAGTATTTATGGATGGAATCACTTTGAATTTAATGTGGAACATTCTGTGGGTTTTAATTCATTCTATTCCAAAGGAATCATTTTTGTTTCAATATGGCACATGTTTTTACGCCACCTCCCTGGAGAGCTCCATCAGAGCCACATTCTCTAAGCCCTTGTCCCTATCCATCAGATCTGACTGCTGGTTCCCAGGTCAGGGCAAGGACCTGTGGACTTCTCAAACTAGGCGTGATCCCAGCAGAACACCAGGAGGCCAAGGCCTGGCATTAACAAACCCCCTATCCCCGTTCGTTCTGGCTGCAGGATTTAGATCGGTTCCTCTCAAGAACGGCTACAGTGAAGACATAGAGCTGGCTTCCCTCCTGGTTTTCTGTGAAATGCGACCGGTTCTGGTGAGTCTGAAATGCTCCGGGAATGTCTGCTGGGGTGAAGACAGTCTGTGGGAAGGGGTTGGCTAATGGCCTCGGGCCTGAGACATCAGAACAGAATTTCTTTCAGCTACAGCCTGCCCAGGGGTCCTCCATGGTTTCCTCCCAGCATCCTCCTTCCTTCTCGAAGAATGTTGCATTTTCTGTGTGTAGTTGGGAAGGTGAAGCTCCTTGGAAGGGCCTCCAAGTTTCAGTTTAGTGAGAGCCAGGCTCCACGATGTTCCCTGGATGGGCTCATCCTTGAAGGGGATCTGAGAGTGTCCACATGGTGGCGTGCAAGTCTTGACTGGGAGGAGGACTGCAGAGGGAGAGGCTTCAAGCATGAGTGGGGGGGTTCCATGAAACTGGCACCTGCTTTATGCCCCTTTCTGAATGTTTATACAGATACGGAGTGTTAAAATTCAGTCCTTAAGACATAGCGTATACATGAGTGGTAGATTAGAATTATGGCTCTTTACTCCTTTTCCAGATGGGTTCATGGAAAAGGTTTATTTTGAACTTGAATCTGAACACCAAATGGTCACCTATATAAGTTTTCTTCTAAGCCAGGAGCAGGTGGAAGGAGAGCCTTGAGGGAGTGGTTTAGGACGAGGCGTGGTTGTGCTTTGGTCTTCAGCGGAGAGAGCGCTGTGCTTACTGAGGAGGGGCGTAAACCATGGGCAGTCATCCTGCGCCACGTCCAGTCTGCCACCAGGACTGCCCAGCCATTCTGTCTCCACCATCTGGGAAACAAAACCGTTTTCTTCCTATGAGACTTTGAAAATGGCTGGGAGAGCCTTCACTGCCAGCACCATTCCCCAGTGTTAGAACCTTCACATAAGAAAACTTGACAAACAGAGCCCCTTTGTGTATGTTGATGCGAGTGTAGCACCGACACTTCCTTCTTGAGTGAGTCCACTCACACCCTCAGCACAGCTAGAGTGAGCTCTTACATTTCCTTGAGAGGTTTTGTTCTTAGCAGCATAGAGGAGGGACTGTGAGACTTGTGTTTGTGAGAGGTGGGTCCAGGTGTTCTCCACGGGCTCCGGTTTCCTGTCTGTGGACTTCATTCCCGGGCCGACACTCTATACATGTCAAAGGTGTGGCTCCTTCAGGTGATCCCCGAAACACAAAGCCATCATTGTACTTTGAGCAGTGCCCACTAGCCCTGGGGTGGTCAGTTATAAGGCCCTATTATCACTCTCCGGAACTGAGCCCTGGACAGGTGAAACTCTCGATACCTGGCCTTTCTCCTTTTTAGTTAACACCTCTATTGAGCCTTGTGAGGGGCTTCAAAAAGTATGTGGGAAAACTCATTACTTTTTAATTCCATCATGGACCATGGACCATTCAGTGGTTTTTAGTATATTCAGAGTTGTGCAACCACCGTCAACTTTAGAATATTCTCATCGCCTCAGAAAGAAACCCCACACCCACTGGCTTACTTTGGACACGTCTTCAGGAAAGACCAGTCTCTAGAGAAGAACGTGTTAGGTAAAGTGAAATGCAGTCATCATGAGGGGCGCCCTCGAGGGACAGGCTGCTGACACAGTAGACACAATCATGGGTTCAAACATGCCGACAATCACAAAGGTTATATCAAGGGTGGGGGGAGACAGCATTTCCATCTGGCATCCATGAAGCCTCCACTACAAGTCAGCACCAACCCGACAACCACGAAGGATGAGGGCAATACCCCTCAACAGTTACACCTCACACCTACTGCATCTGCTCCTCTGTTGTCTGTCTGCAGAGACTCGCCCATTCTGGGTATTTTGTACAAATAGGATCCAACAATACGTAATTCTGCCTGCCTGCCTGGCTTCTTTGACTTAGTGTATAGCGCTTTCATGGTTCATCCTGTTATCGCCAGATACCTTGCTCTTTAAGGTCCTACCAAACTCACTGATGCCTACAGCACAGTAAAACGGCTCATCTTTTCCCCACAGAGTAACTAGTGGGTTTGAACCGCCGACTTATGTTTAGCTTAACTCAATGCAACACCAAGGCTTTTTTTAAGCTTGTGAACCAGAACCCAACCCTGTATAGGGTTCTGAGACTGTTACGTCGTCAAGGGAACAGCAGCTTCGTACGGTGGTTAGGAGTCCAGTGCTTATCTAAGTCCCATATCACACTGCTGTCTTCCTCACCGCTGTGGCTTACTCTAACTGTACAGCTGCTTAAACCATGGGCATCAGGGCCAGATGGTGAGAATAAGAATAGGGACTGGTGGGCAGGACGTTCATTTCTACGTCTCAGCAGAAAGCCACGTCAGGAAGGACAAGCAGTGACTCCATGGGACTACGGAGCTGCCGCTTTACCTTTGATGAAACAGGCCCTAGGGGTTCCCCGACCTGAGGACCTCACTGTCCTTCTCTCCCCGGCCCCCCAGGAGAGCGAAGAGGAACTTTACTCCTCCTGTCGCCAGCTGCGGAGGCGGCAGGAAGAACTAAACAACCAGCTATTCCTGTACGACACCCACCAGAACTTGCGCAACACCAACCGGGACGCCCTGGTGAAGGAGTTCAATGTCAATGAGAACCAACTCCAGCTGTACCAGGAGAAGTGCAACCGGAGGTGAGTCTGCACCCACCCCAGAGCCCTAGTGCTGCTGTGGCTACAGCACTCAGCTGGTAACCACAAGGTCGGTGGTTCAAACCCGCAAGCCGCTCCGTGAGAGAGACATGCAACAGTCTGCTTCCATAAAGGTTGTTACATGCCGTGGAGTTGGTTCTGACTCATAGTGACCCTGTACAGGATTTCTGAGGCTGTAAATCTTTACGGGAGCAGAAAGCCTCATCTTTCTCCCGCAGAACGGCTGGTAGTTTCAAACTGCTGACCTTAAGGTTCGGAGCTCAATTCGTAACCACTATACTACCAGAGCTTCTTGGCTTTAAGAGGATAAGAAAGAAGGAAAAGGTCAAAATAGAGGTCAGATCTGAACCTTGCTCTCCTGGGTGATGGTGGCTGTGTGCCGTGGAGTCAGTTCTGACTCATAGCGACCCTGTCTGTCCAGGGTTTCTGAGGCTGTAATTGTTTGTGGAAGCAGAAAGCCTCATTTTTTCACACAGAACAGCTGGTAGTTTCAAACTACCGACCATGAGATTAGCAGCCCGATTCGTAACCACTATGCTACTAGAGATTACATCCTTGGAAATCCTTGGGGCAGCCGTTTTATCTGTTCTACAAGGTGGCTGTGCTCGACTTAAGAGCAGTGGGTTTGAATAAGCACGTGCAGCATCTGTAAGTACAGTCATCGTCCCTAGCAGAGCACCGTGATACAATGGTGAAGACAGAGAATGACCTTTAGCTGTGAATGAGCCCCACCTCACTTGCCACGAGTGTGTAAGGCCAGTGGTTCTGAATCATAGTGACCGTGCCGTCTGTCCGTCTGTCCGTCTGTCTCATTTCAGGTTGAGAGAGAAGAGAGTTAGCAACAGCAAGTTCTACTCCTAAGAGCCAGGGGGGGCACGTGAGCCAGGTGGGGCACTCATGGGAGAGCCCATGTCCCACTGCAGCCACTGGAAGACGCTCAACTTGGAGGTCATCCTCTTCCCACGGCAGACCCAGCCGGCACATGCTGGGAGGATTTCTCCCTAATGTTTTCATCTTGGACAACTTTCATAACTTATAATAGTTCCTACAGGGACCCTAGCGAGGGTCCCCGAAAATGTGTTCCTTGTTTGGGACACCTCTCATGTTCCAAACCTCATTGAATAAAATCAATGAAATTTCAGTAGGTTCGATCTTGTATGCCCGACCTATGTGCTGACCAAGAGAACCCTGACATTAAGCACCTCATTCCTTACATTCTGAAAAGGATTTTCACTCTATAATGAAGGCCATCCCGTTCCACGAGGGCCCCAAGAGGACCCCTGCCCCAGGTCAGCTGGCTGAACTCAATGCCCTTCACCACCACTGGCAGGCTGGCTGTGTAGACTGACTTCTTGCATGCACCTGCCAAGAGGTGGTTGGCTAGAGGTCTCTGCTCATTAAGACACTGTCTCCGTATCCCCACTGCACAGCCTCATGGGTGACAGTCCTCTGCAGACTCCTGCTTCCTGACATGGCTTCATGGGGTGAAAATCTTGGGGTCCCTGTTTTCCAATCAATGCCCATCAGAAACCGGTCCTTCTGATGCTGAAACTAGCTCATTCCTGGCCCTATTACACTCATCACTGGGGGACTGAGGCATCTGGCCGTGTTTGGCCACCCTCCACCCAGGCAGGCGACAGTCCAGATCCTCAGGGTATTTCCCTGATTTCCCAGCTTTCAGGGGCAAAGAGTTAGATAGAGCTTTACGGTATAGGCACTTGGAAGCTATAGAAAATCTCCCATACAGTCCTCCCCAATGGGGCGGACCGCCACTGGCTTTATCTTGATACAGGTCTCCCCTGCTTTTCAAGTTTGCTGGAACCCATATTTCACTTTTACAAAGGACCTACAAAGAGACCTGTCGTCACTAGCCAAGAGAAATCCAAAGAGTTTCGCTTTTATGAAGAAGTTGAAATGCGAGGCTAGTCTTCAGTGTTTGATTTGCAGTGAGGCAGCGTGAAACCCGAGCAGTGAATGGAATCGGCAAGCTCCGTCCCGAGGTGTCACATTCGGCATCAGGCCATGAGAGCCTGGAGTGATCTGTGAGCACTCCATGTGGGGGCTCCAAACCATTCATGAAAGAATTCCAGAGTCTCTTATTCCCACTTTCCACAAGCCTTCTGGTGCACCCTGGTGGGCTAGCACTAGCTTAGGTTTCATGTGTTACTTGGTAGGTTATTTTTTGGGTCTGCAAATGCTCAAAAAAAATTTTTTTTACCCATATAAAAATGAATTCCCTTTCAGCCTCACAACAGGTTTCATAAGGACAGTTTGTTGTCAGATGTTGTTGTTGTTGTTAGGTGCCATTGAGTTGGTACTGACTCACAGCAATCCTATGCACAACAGAATGAAACAGTGCCCGGTCCTGGGCTAACTTCACAATTGTTGCTGCGTTCAAGCCCACTGATGCTGCCACTTTGCCAGTCCATCTCGCTGGGGATTCCTCTTTTTCTCTGGCCCTCCACCTTACCAAACATGATAGCCCTCTCCAGTGATTGGTCCCTCCTGACAATATGTTTGAATTTTGAGAGACAAAGTCTGGCCATCCTGGCCTCTAAGGAGCACTCTGGCTGCACTTTTTCCAACACTGACCAGTTGTTTCTTTTGGCAGCCCACGGCACCTTCAATATTCTCCTCCAACACCATAACTTAAAATAATCAATTCTTCTCCGATCCTCTTTATTCACTGTCCAGTGTTTTCATGCATATGAGGTTATTGACAATACCATGGCTTGGGTCAGGCACACCTTAGTCCTCAAGCTGACATCTTTGCTCTTTATCACTTTAAAAAGGTCTTGTGCAGCAGATTTGCCTAATGCAAAACGTTGTTAGATCTCTTGACTGCTGCTTCATGAGTGTTAATAGTTGATCCAAGAAGAATGAAGTCCTTGACAATTTCAATCTTTTCTCTACTGATATGGATGCTGTTTATTGATCCAGTGGTGAAGGGGTTTATTTTCTTTACATTGAGATGTAATCCATACCGAAGCCTGTGGTTTTCAGCCTTCATCAGTAAATGTTTTAAGTCCTATTTGCTTTCAACAAGAAAGTTATATTGCATATCACAGGTTGTTAATGGATCTTCCTCTAATCCTGATGCCACGTTTTTCTTCATATAATCCATCTTCTTGGATTATTTGCTTAGAATACAGGCTGAGTAAGTATGGTGAAAAAATACGATCCCGATGCACATCTTTCCTAATTTTAAAACCATTTAGATGTTCCCTTGATCTGTTCAAACAAATGCCTATTTCTCTATGTCCAGGTTCCTCATACTTCACAATGTTGTCCATAGCTTGTCATGATCCACACAATCAAAAGCCTTTGTGTAGCCAATAAAGCACAGTTAGCCATCTTTCTGGTATTCTCTGCTTTCAACAAATCCATCTGAAATCAGTAATGATATCCGTCATTCCATGAACTCTTCTGAATCTGGCTTGAACCTCTGCAAGTTCTCTGATGATGTATACTTGCAATTCTTTTTTTTTTTTTAATTACCTTTAGTAAAACTTGACTCGCTTGGTATATCAATGACACTACCGATTCCGCTGGGTCACCTCTCTTTGCAGTGGGCACAAATATGGATCTCTTCCAGTCAGTTGGCCAGGTAGTTGTCATTCAGATTTCTTGGCAGAGATGAGTGAGTGCCTCCTGTGCTACAGCAGTTTGTTGAAAGATTTCAATCTGTATTCCATCAATCTTTGTGAATGACTTCAATGCACCTTGGACTTATTCTTTCAGGATCATTGGTTCTTGATCATATGCTACCTCTTGAAATGGCTGAACATCGGTCATTTCTTTTTGGTACAGTGACTCTGTGTATTCCTTCCACCTCATTTTGATGTTTTCTGCATCGTTAAATAATTTGTCCATGTTGTTTTTAAGTGCTGTTGAGTCAGTTCCAACCCACAGCAACCCTGTATAGGGTTTCCAAGGGGGTGGCTGGTGCACTTGAGCCACCAACCTTGTTCAAAGTGACTTCAGGCCAGCACATTAACCCACAAATGCCACACCAGGACTCCACAGAATTTGCCCATAGAATCTTTCAATACCACAAGTTGAGGTTTGAATTTTTTCTTCAGAGTCCTTAGCTTGAGAAATGCTAAGTGTGTTCTTTCCTTTTGGTATTCTCAGATCTTGCTACCATAAAGTTAGAAATTAGCAATAGGAAGATCAAGAGGGAAAAAAAATCAAATACATGGAAATTGAATAAAATGCCCTGCTTAAAAACTACCAGGCATTCCTGGTGTGGTGCTATCGTGTAAGTACTGGGCAGCATGATCAATTTGAACCACAAGGTCGGTGGTTCAAATCCACCAGCTGCTGCTCGGAAACAGGGTTGCTATCAGTTGGAACCGACTGGACCGCACTTATCAATAACAATAGAAAATTAAATAAATTCTTTGAATCAAGTGAAAGTAATTAAAAACAAAAACATATCAAAACCTTTGAAACACAGCCAAACTAGTATTCCAAGGGCAATTTATAGCAATAAACATATACGTGCAAATAACAATCAAAACCAACACCTTAATCCAAATCTTCAAGAATTATGAAAAAAGGAGCAAAATAAGCCTGCATTCACCAGAAGAAAAGAATAAAGCTGGGAGCAGAAATAAATGAAACAAAAAACAGAAGAGCAATAGAAAAAAAACACCCCCAAATCAACAAGGCTAGACGTTGGCTCATTGACCATTAATAACATCAACAAAGCAGTGGCAAATGTAGCACACGAAAAAAAAAGATGCAAATAACACAATGGCCAATATCAAAACGGAGTCAATGGAAATAGGATAAAAATACCAGGAAGAATTGTACTCTCTCTAGTAAATTTGAAAACTTTGAAGAAACGTACGCATTTATAGAAACACACGAACTATCTGAGTAACACAGACTGAAGTAGAGAATTTGAACAGACTCAAAACAAAAGAAGAAACTGATAAGGTAAAAAAACACACAAAGAAACAGAACTCCCAACAATAAAATATTTACAAGATGAAACAGCTTCCTGGTGAATACGACCAAACAGTTACAGAAGAGGTGACATCAATTCTACACAAACTAGTCCGAGAATGGAAAAGAAGGAAAAACTTCCGAATTCTCTTACAAAGCAAGCATAACCCTGATACCCAAACCAGGTGAAGGTATTCACTAAAAAAAATTTTTGACTGATATCCTTCATGAAAGCAGGTACAACTGTTCTCAACAAAAGCCTAGCTAACAGAAGACAAAGCACAGAAAAGAAAACAAAACACTACGATGAAGTAGGGATTCATACCAGGCATGCCAGGATGATTCAACATTAGAAAACACAATCCATCACCTCACTAAGACAAAGGGAGAGAACCACATGATCTTATCAATCAACGTAGAAAAGGCATTTGACAAAATCCAACACCCATTCCTGATAAAGGCACTCAACAAAACAGGAGTACAAGGGGAATTCCTTCAAATAATTAAGGGCATATCTGGTAGCGTAGTGGTTACGAATCAAACTGCTAATCTCATGGTCAGCAGTTCAAAACTACCAGCTGTTCCACGGGAAAAAGATGAGGCTTTCTGCTCCCGTAAAGATTCATAGCCTTGGAAACCCTACACAGGGTCGCTTTGAGTGGGAACCGACTCCATGGCACATAATCACGACAACATGCAGAACCAAGAGTCAACATAGTCTGAGATGAGAAACTGAAAACACTCCCCTAGCAAGCAGGAACTCTACAAGGATATCCTTTATCATCACTCCAATTCAGTCTTGTTCTGGAAGTCTTAGCCAGAGCTATAACACAAAAAAGGGACATAAAAGCCATCTAAACGAATCGGGCTGCAAACCTAAAGGTCAGCGGTTCGAAACTACCAGCTGCTCCACGGGA